TGGACAAGCACACCATGGAGAAGCAAGGGCTGGTAACCTCGGGGGGAAGATGGGGAGATGCAGGGGCAGTAAAGGATGTGGGACATGCAGAGATGCTGGCGGGGGCTGAGCAAAACGGGTATAAAGAGCCAAAAACTAGGGCAGTGCGTGAGAGAGCGCGGGAGACCTTCAGTCCTCCACAACAGCCCTGATACAAAAGGAAAAGATGCTTTGACAGAGGGACGGTGATTAGCAACAAAAGAGAGCCGGGAAGGAGCACATCAGTCAAAGGAGCCGCGAGCGCGGGCGAAGCGAGGGAGGGAGGATTTCCATTTCCATTTCGTGCCGCCGGTTTCCTTCACTCTGCCGGTTCGGGGAGGCTCTCCCATCTCCACACGTGCCTTCGAGAAGGAATTATCTAAACCTACGTTTGCTTCTAGAAGGAACAGTTGCTCCCACGGGGGAAAAGGTGTGGACAGAGCAGTAAAGCAAGGGGAGCATCCTGCCCAGCATGGAACTCCAGCTCATGGCTTCATAGGTGACCAACGCCTGCACATCCTCTGCCCAGTCCTCTGCCACCAGTGGGCAAAGCCCTTTGCCCCTCCTCCTTCCCAGAACCAGTGGCTTTGGAGGCACAGGGGACAGGCTCAGCCCCACAGGTAAGATGATGGTGACTGCAGGGACTGAGCCTTCCTCCCTCTGAGCCCCTCTGCTCACAGGGAAGGTGCTTCCCCCCTGCACCAAGGCAGGAAAACGGATGCAAAAAGTTCTCCTTGTCATCCCACAAGTGAAGGGGGCTTGTGGCATCAAAGGAAAATTAATTGGGCAGAGTTTGGTGGTTGAAACAAAGCCGGCTCAGGTGCTGCAGCCCCACTGCTGCCTTTATCTCACCGACACACACCCTGGCAGTGGTGATCCCAGCACGGGGAGAGGTGCCACCGGCAATGCCACCTCTGCCCCCGCCACCCTCTGCCACCCATGCCCACAGCCCCCGGACTCCGCCGAGCAGGTAATTAACTCCCAGACAAAGGCAGGGATTTGAAGATTAACCTGGGCTCGGGAAAGAGTGGGAAAACTCATTTACACCAAACAAAAGGGGAGGGGTGATTAGTTGCTTCAGTGACAACAGCAAGAGCCAGATAGGGCCAGGGAAACTGATAAAGAAGCGGGAAAGCGCTAATATCCCCCAGTTGCCTGCTTTTTGCCTCTCTTTTTTTTTTTTTCTCCTTCTTTCTTTCTTTTTAAGCACTAAAATTCCACCATTTTCTATCATGCAAATTCGTGTGCCTAAGTGAGATTAAACTCTGGCAGGCGCTGTGCCTCCTTCCCCAAGTCCATTTCCCGCGCTGAGATAAGGCCAACTTCCCTTAATGCATCTTACAAGGCAGTGGGAGTGTTTTGCAGACACACATTGGAGACGGCTTATTATCAATACAAATAAGAGCTTTCCAGATATCGGCCTTCTCCTCCTCCCTCCCCTCTCTCTTTTAAACCCAGGAACCCGGAGAATGGCTTAAATAGCTGAGGTGTCCTGCGGGGAGCAGGGAGAAGGGGGAGGCTGTGCCTGAGCTGCTGCAAGAAGTGGGACTTGCTAAGGAAACCAGAGAGGAGAGGAAGGGAAAGCATCACTCCTCGGAGGTCAGTGGGGCCTCAACCCTATTTCTCACTCCGGGTTTCTGCCTCTGTCCAAGTTCAGAGCTTCTCTATTGCAAGTGGGGCTTGCCTGGATTTTGTCTCTTTGGGATTTACATCCACAAACGCCTCACTCTCCACAGGGCCCAAGGCAGACTCCTGCAAACACGAGCAGTGCTGCTTCCCCGTGCTTTGACTGGTCTTATGGCAACTCCTCCTGAGAAGGAATGAGTGCTGAAGGAGTGGGACCACCTTCCAGACCCTGCTGATAACACAGATGCTCCCTGAGCTGCTCATTTTAGGTCTGTCTGGAATCTGGGAGAGAAGATCCAGGTGCTAAGAACCTTCTTGTCCCTTTGGCAGCTCTGTTGTTGGCTCACATCAACTTGGCATCACCAGCCTGACCCCATTTAGAGCAGTCCTCAAAATAGCAGGTCTGAACTTTGATGCATTCAGTGCCAAGGGTCTGTTGTCTCATTCCTGGGCTCATTTGTCCCACATTAGCACAGAGGCACCGACCTGCTATTCCTGGATCAGCAGCAATCACCTCTTCCCTTTTGTACCAGGATTTCAAGACTGACAAGTGTTTCTGAAGGCCTGACCGATGAGGAAAAGTGGGAGAAACAGAGCTTGGATGGTTTCAGAAAGAAGGTGGCTACAGGATAACAACCTTCCCAAAAGCAAAAGGTTATTACAGAGGACACTGATCAATTGTTCCCTCAATCCGCCGGGAATAGGCTGAGAAAAATTCCACTTCATTTGCAACAATGAAGGTTTAAGTTAGATATTAGCTATACATTTTCTAATTATAAAGCCAGCAAAGCAGTAGAATAGATCGTCTGGGGACACTGAAGAACCTGCTTTGTTACAGATTTTCAAGAATAGCTTTCACAAGTGTTTGGCAGCGATGCCTCTGCCTGGTTGCAGGGGGATGGGCTAAATTAGCTCTTGAGGTGCCTTCTACCCACCTCTTTTGGGATCTTGTCCATCAATAGAGCCAACCTAGAAATGAGTGTGCAGCAGTCCGGCCATCCTTGGTTCTGGGTGTTTCCAGCTGATTCTCTCCCACTGCCTTAGGGGACTATTCCCAACCCTCATACCCTAAAGGAAGCTCCTTCTCCTACCCCCTATCCCTCTCCTGTTTTTTGCTCTTTCTCCCATATCACCACTTCCCTCCAGCAGCCCTTGGCCAACATGATGCCCCAGAGCTCCTCCCTCCCTCCCTCCACGGCTGTTTCCCAGTGATATCCCCTAAACCTGTGGACAAGGAGGGATGGCCTGAGGGTGCCTGCACTCTGGCTGATATGCACCCAACCTGCCTGCCTGGGGGAGCAGCAGCCTGCTGAAATCCTGGCTGGAAGGGGAAGAGCTCTTTGTCCCCCACAGCCAGTCCCTTTGGAGAGCACAGCCTGCCCCAGGGCACGATTTAATTGCATCCTGAGAGGTGGAGTGCTCCTGCCTCCAGAGCTGTGCCCCCAGGGCCTTTCCTGGTGCAGCAAGTGGAAAGTCAGGACCTGCTTAGAGCAACCTGAACACCTCCCTCTTTCTGGCTGCACCTGGATTAACCCTGTTTAAAAGGGGACATTCCCTTTCCCACCTCCTCTCACCACTTCTCCTTTCCTATCAGGCTGCAGGAAGGGGCAAAATATCCCAGAGCCACGTGCTGAAGTTGGCACATCCCTGAAATCTGGTGCTTAGACACTCTGCTTTCCTGGGACAGGGAACAAGCACCACTTCCCACAAGCTGAATGTCGTTTTGGACAGGATTATTCCAGAATGCATATTTATAGGGCCCATTTTCCAAGGCAGGAGAGCTAATCCTGGCACCCCAGTCAAATCTGCATCGAGGTTATTAAGGCAGGTTTCCCTTTAATTGGACATGATATTCACTTTCATGTCCTGCTCTCAGAAAGGGCTGGGTGAGCCAAGCAATAGCTCTTCAAATTAGGGGGCTCGCTCTCCAGAGCCGGAATTTCTCTGGCAGCAATGAGGATGTTCAGCATGTTATAGGACTAAGCCCATCACTGAATCCTCCTGCACTTAACTGTACCACTGCAAGGAGTTAAGCTCTGACCTTTTCCTCCAGCTCCCAAATATCTCTTCCTAATGATCCAGCAAGGCACGGGAGGGATGGACCTGGATGTCTGGTGATATGGGAAATTTAGGTCAGGAAGTGGGAATCAGAAGAGAACAGATAGAAATTGTCCTGCATCACCCCAGCATCTGATAGCAACTTCAGAACTTGTGGGTGATCGACTTTGGCTTAAGAAACTCAGGCAGGTAATAAGAGATTGCAAGATAAACAGCCAGACCCTGGCTGGGAATGCATCCGCTTCCCCTCCGCGGTTAATGGAGATGGAGAAAGTCCAGCTCTGTTTAGTTGGCTTGATTGCCTGAAGAGGAAAGGAAAAATGAAAAGGGAGGGAAGAGGGAAAATAAGGGCCCTGAGTTCGGGTTTTTTCCCCCCTTCTATTCATTAGGCTGTCAATAATGCTCGGGCCTGGCATATCGACGGCGGATTAGCTCAACCCGACTCTGTGTACAAGACCAATGCCTTTTTAACCCAGCTTGTTTCCAAATCAATACACCCATCAGCATTCGAAAATTAGCCCGAGACGAGATTCCAATACTCAAGCTGGTCTGTCATGTTAAGAGGGCTCCTGGCCAAATCACAGAAGAAGCAGCAGGAAAAAAAAAGGTTGCTAGCAAGGGATTAGAAATTTTCCATTAATCTTCCCCGAGGCTAAGAGCTCACCAGGCCCCATCTGTCCCACCAGGAGGTTCCCTGTTGTCCAGCACACATCCTGCCACATGCAGACAGGAGCCATATTCCATCAACATCCATCTGCTTGACCATCACGTGTGGCCACGCTTGTTTGTCCCCTCTCAAGAGCCAGTGTGTGCTCACACACTCAGTGAAGATGCACCCACCTGGCCATCAAAAGTGCTCCACCACCCCGTGCTGGCCTTCCTCCTCCTCCCCCTGCTCCCAAAAGTATGGAATTCCAACACACAAACACATATTGTTGCTAGGCATACACACACCCCCACAAAGCACACAAATCTGCCAGCTCTCTCTTTTCCCCCAGCACAAGTTCTACTTCAAGCAATGCCTCCAGCGTGGGAAACAAAAAGCCATCAAAATGCAACAACAAAAACAGCAACACGGGTCTGCCAGCGACTGTGTCGGGAGGCAGCGCTGCCTGTGTCAGAGCCCTGGGATTGTGCCAGGAAAGTTGGATAAATGCACTGCCCAGCTGCACTGGGATGCTCCAAGCCTGTCTGTCAGACTCTGTGTTTGCACCAAGTTGTGCCAGGAGACACCTGGGCAAAAGGAACACAAACCAAAGCCCCAAGCCCAAGCCCTGCACGAGCTCCTTCGCTCTTACCTTGCACGATGAGGTGGACGCGCGAGGTCTTGGGGTGATTGTCTGTCTGCACGGAGCAGGTGTAGGGGCCCTCATCGTACACGTCCACATCCTGGATCTGGATGCTGTACTGGGTCTTGGTGTTGGCCAGGAGCACCACCCGAGGGTCCAAGCACCACTTGTCATTGCCAGCATAGAGGATGCTGCTGCGGTTCAGCCAGGCCACTCGGGTGACTCGGTTGTCCACGGAGCACCTGGGGAGAGGCAGAGAGGTGACCCATCCATGCGCTGCTCCCGGACGCTCTCCCTCCCTTCCCCAGCCCTCCTGGCCCTCTGGGAACTATTTTTAGCTTTGCTGTCAGCAGCAGTTTCAGAGACCGAGTGCTTTCAGTGTCCAAAGAGGACAAGGTCAGCACTTTACCTGCGGTGCTCCATCTAAACTGGCGGCTCCAGAGCTCTGCCCGAGAGCTCCACACTTTTTTCAGATGCGGGGAGGTCAGAGCCACCCAGGACCAGCCACCAAAGCACCTTTCACTCCTCTGTTCCCATTTACTCCTTTGCAAACACAGACACAACCAGAGCTGAGCCAAACCCTCCACCCTGAGTTCAAAGCACACCTATTTTGGGGGGGATGCAGGTTGTTACCTCCTGCCCAAGCCCATCACTTGTCATTCTCTCTGCAGACCTTCACATCCTCGCAGCCAGACAAAGAAATGCAAAGCAATGCCAGGAAAGCAGCTTGTGCTGCTTTACAGAGGAGCAAGGAAAATTTATCTCTGGAGAAAGCCAGCTCTGACACACACCTCTAAAGAGAAACCTTGAGCATCCAACAATTTGTCCCCTCTGTCAGCTCTTCCTTCCCTACCCATCACCTGCATCGCTGCACCTCCCTCCCTGCACCTGACCCCAGCTGAGCATTTCACTTGGGAGGGATGTTTTCGAGGTAGAAATCCTCTATATTCAGTTTGATTAAGCAACTGAGCCCCCCCAGGAGACAACACAGCTCAAACCTAGAAGAGACTTTGCTCCTGAGGGAGATTATTTTCCTGTCCATGTTAGCTGGGACCAGTCTTGCTCCTCCCAGAGGTCTCTGCCAGCCCTGTAACCCTCCATCCCCAGATCCACCTCCAGAGAAGCACCAAGGCCTTCTCTAGGCAGCAGTCACAGCCAGCTAAACCCCTGCTTCTCTTGGAGAAAGTTTGGGATTATGGAGCTGTGCTTTGCTGGATGCCGGCTCCAGAGGATAATGTCCCTGCATAAACCCACTCAGCCTAAAATCCACTCTTTATATTCCTCCCCAAACTACTTCATTACTTGTCCAGTGGCTGGGATGCAAATTAACTTGGGAGGCACTGAAAAAGAGCCCAGCAGCCTCCACGGAGTGACCTCATGGAATGTAAGGGGCTCGAGGGGCTCTGCATCCCAGGCTGCACTGGCAGGGGAGGGCACAGCCAGGATGGATTTATCTGTGGCATGGAATTGTGTCTTCTCTCTGGGCGAGCTGTCTCCTTACTGGAGGTCCTTATAACCTCCTTCAGGGTTAGAGGATGGGATAGGGCAAGAGGAAGTGGCCTCAAGTTGCACCAGGGGAGGTTTAGGTTGGATATTAGGGAAAGTTTCTTCACCGAAAGGCCTGGAAGGTGCTGCCCAGGGTAGTGGTGGAGTCACCATCCCTGGAGGGATTTAAAAGTCATATAGATGTGACACTTGGGAACCTGACTTAGTGAAGGACCTGGCAGTGCTGGGGAATGGTTGGGCTGGATGATCTTAGAGGCTTTTTCAACCTTAAAGATCATATAATGGGAGATTTCTGTTCCTGTGTCCACTTCTGATGCCAGGGAAGACACAGGTACCTGCCTAGGGATAAGTTGTTTCATCTTGTTCAGCCTCTTTTGGGAGGTATTTCTGTCCCCAGTGATTGCAGGAAAAGCCAAATTAACCCAGTCAGCCTCAACACACAACATTTGGGGGTTAGGGACCCCCATAAGGACACCTGCCCAAGGTGAGAGGGGTTGTCTGCAGCCCAGGACACCCCTGATTTGCCAGTACCCAGTTCCTGTGCCATCCTCCCCCTCCGGTGTGAAAAACATCTGATAAATTAAACAATTTTACTGCTGTTCCATGATGATATTACGATAATAATAAATTAAATGTGAGCAGATTTTTATGATCTACATAAAAAATAGCAATAGATTCAGCCTGGGCTGAACACCAAGAACTTGGCTCTTGCTCTCAGCTGCATTACAACCTGAGTAAAAAACCTGAGAGTTTAGTTGCTCAAGTTGAATTAAACTAGAAATTTCTTCCCAGAGGATGGGTTTAGTCTATTGAACTCCGAACCTCAGCTCTGCTGGTAGCTCAGACCTATGGGGCACGAATAAAATGAATTGGATATTTGGTGTTTGGCTCTGGTACCATGAAATAGGCTCCTGTGGTGGTTCTTCTGCACAAACACAGGGGTGTCCAGGGCTGGGTGATGACAAACCAGATGTGGCTTGAATTTCTCAGGCCAGTCCCTTCTGCAGACATTACCCTTGAGGACCTGTAAGCAGGCTGAACTAAAACTATATATTTCCTCTCTCCTCCACGCCAGCCTTCTTTATGAAATGCATCAGCTTGGAGATCCTTGGATAATAATGGAGCCAGACAGTGTGCAATCCAAGCATTCCCTCTATCATATGGGCATTTAAGTGCCTTTGAAAAGCAGCGGGGCTCAGGTAACGCATGAGGCAACAGTGAAATAAGTGCTTTTGCCCTTCACAGCACTCAGGCACAATCTCTGCTTATCACCCAGCCACGCTTCCCTGTCCCTGCCATCGGCGAGCTTCAAGCCGCTATTTTATATTCTTCCCTGCCTCTTAAGGCTCCTGGAGGATATTAAGTATATATATATATAAATAAAGCATAGAAACAGGTCCTGGGAAAGAAGTGCTTCGACCTCTGGCTGTGCTGGGCTGTTCAGGGGGTGGCAGGTGAGTGCTGTGTTCAACCTGCTCCTCCTCGCACGGGCGCCGGTCGGGATCCCCGTGGCCAAGGCTGGTCACAGCGACTCAGTGCTCTTCCAGCCCCTCCATCTGCTCCCCTTTCCCTCCTCCAGCAGCTCCTCTCTCCGGCAGCCCGGCACAGGGATGGGAAGCCCTCCTCTCCCCCACGCAGGCAGCCGAGCGGAAAGCCCTTGGCTTTGGCTGGGAAGCCACGCTCCAGGCACAGGTGGAGAGCAGAGACACCGCTGAGCCCGCGGCCTTCCCCCTTCCCACCCCGCTCCTGGCAAGGTACAAAGTCCTGGGATGCCTCCTCCGCCTCCATGGAAGTTCCCACTTTCCCTCTCGCCCCACCACGTGCCAGGGAGGGAGGGAGGGAAGGGAGGGAAGGGAAGGGAGGGAAGGGAGAGATCCTCGGGGTGCCGGAAAACAGCGCTCGCCTCCAAAAAGATGATCTAAAAACAATTAAGCAGAGATGAGGTAATTTTCCCTCTCAAGATCCTTAATCCTTGTTTCATTCCCGCTCAGATGGCAAGGACTTCTCCTCCAGGAAAATGAAAAACTGCTGTAAGCCAGCACAAGGAGGAGCTGATACTGCTCTGGGTACTGCTCCCTCTCTCTGCCGTTTCTTTCCCAGTAAGTCCAGAGCCTCAAGCCTCAGGGCTTCTCCTCTGGGAGATGGAACATGGCTAACTCACCACTGCTGCATCATCCTAGGGGCAGGCAGGGATGGTTGGCAGACAGATGCAGCTTCTCACGCTGCACCAGACCTCTGCCCCCAATGCCATGAGGGAAACTCCAAATGACCACAAATTTGGGCATTTTAAAAGTTAAATGCACTGCCAAAAGGCAAGAGCTGCATGTCTACTTCCTCCCTACCTGTCCCAACCTGCCTGTTCCTGCCTTTTCCCCACTCTCCCAGCTCAGTGGTGGGTGCAAACAGGATACAGGGTAGTGCTGCCCTTTCCAAATCCATCAATATCTCCCACAGCCAAAACTTCCTGGCTTTGTTATCCACCTTCTTTTACCGAGTTGATCCATTAGGGACTGGCTGCTCTCCCCCAAACCATCACCCCCACAGCCTGAGGGACTGAGGTTGCCCGGCCAAAGGGTCCCATGGGTGCAGCCAACAGCCCTGGCTGCAGGGACACCACTCACATTGGAAGAGGGAAAGCAGTGCCATAAGGATTCTGCCACCTCAGGTGACACGAGCACAAAGATGAGCAGGGATGAAAACGCCAGCAAAGCCCTTGCTGGGGATGAAACAGCCTCACCATCAAATATCAGGAATAAATAAGCAACAGGGTGCTGAACATGAGAGCCCTGACCACTGATCTCACCCATCCCTCATCCAGCCCCTGGTACCTCCCTGCACCGCCAGCACAGACACAGATGGCACATGCCAGCAGTGACATGCCCTTCTGAATTCCTCTCCTTGCTTTCATGAGTTTGCATACAGCAAATGACGGGAGGGGAGGTAGGCTGGCAGTGGGGGGAAGGAGGTTTTTAATTACTGAAGTGTAGTAATTGGCACACAACACTTTTTTTTTTTTGTTGCCTCTTATGCAGATTGCTGGTGTTCCAGAGGGCTGGGCTGGAGAGCACAGATTGTCTCAACCCAGCAGGACACACAAGAAATGAATAATGTTAATTAGAACTGAAAAGAGCTCAGCAAAATTACCAACCTGATTGCTGCTTTCGCTGCAATTATCAGGGTACAAGCTCCATCACAGGGAGGCAAGGACGGGGCTAAGCCTGGCTCACCTCGGCCAACGTGGTGGCCCAATCTGGGCTGTGACCAAGCTGGCCCTCCCTGACCTCACTTCTCCTTCCACCACCACCTAATTTGCACTGCAGAGAAACCCTAGAGACACCACCTTCCCAAATCCAAGTCACTTGGTGGAGTTTCACAACGACACCGACCCACCATGGAATTCTTTAGGTTGGAAAAGACCTTAAAGACCATTGAGTCCTAATGTCAACCCAGCACTGCCAAACCCACCCCTAAACCATGTCCTCAAGTGCCACATCTACCACTGAGCTACATCAAGCTACTATCCCTAGATGTCTTCTCTTTTTCTTCCCTCTCTAACTCAGCAATTCCCAAACAACTCCGGATTCTGAATCAACTTCTTCCACACCAGCAGTGTTATGTCTCTGCTAAACCAAGCTGGAAGTCAGGATTAAGCTTGGGGTTTAGATTAAAACTGTGTGCAAATCCTCCCACTGAGGCTGGGCAAGGAGACAAGGTGCTCTGGCCCTGCCTTTTCTCC